CCGGCGATCCGTCGTCTCCTGATTGCCTAGGATTCCTGAAGATGCCAGGTCACCTAGAACATGTCCACGTGGACAAACGACCACCATGCCATGGTCCAGGATTCAGACATGGCTTTATGCCTCGCATTTGCAAGTAGCATTTGGTGGACTCGAATAGCGGTATCCGTGGTATCTTTCCTGCCATGTTCTCGCCCCGTGACCGGCCTTGACAGTGTGACATCATTCTTGCCTGGATGTGCGTCAAGGGTGTCCACGCCCAACAAAGACTCGTCTGAACTTGACCCAACATTTTGACCGTGAAGAAAAGAGGGGCGTCGTGAGGCTGGAAGGTAAATCATTCAAGTCCGGTTTAACCTCGAGGGGTAGCCTACCCCTCTGAAGCATTCCTCTCACCTCTCACCGAGGCATCCCTGAAAAGGTTTAGTTAACTGGATTGGGATAGAGAACAAGTAGACAGCAGCCCTTGCTGTCACACAACCCGGACCTGATACGGATATGCAGTGGCCCAGACCCAAAATTTGCCCTGATGTAATTAGCTGTTTACGAAGCATGATCTGGATTTAAGTCATATGGCCACCCTACTGCAGGCGTGATTCCATATAAATGGCCTTGCCCCGTCACCCTAATCCTCAAACAGCGCCCCCTAACTCACTTATGCTGATCACCCGGGAAGTCTCAATCTTTCCTAGAGATGCTTCGACAGTCCCTCTCAATTGCAAAAAAGGCGACTCGGAAGCTCTACACTCATGATGACTCCAGTGACCTGAGCTTGGACCTGAACATCACAGAACCAGCGGTATTTGTGCCTACGTTTACGAACAAGCCGGCTGTCCTTCGGGGTACCTGCCAGTTAAGATTGAAAAACAATCTGACGGTAAAAAGGTTGACTGTGAACTTTCGTGGGACTAGTCGTGTGACATGGCCGCATGGTGAGGCTAACGTCTTGCTTGTAGGACCATCTGTCTTCGAAACTAATCCATGACGATCTCTCGCAGGGCTTCATGATACCCAGACCGTGACAGATAGCACGTTGACCTTGGTTAGCCCACAGGCCTCGGATCCCGCTCTTCCCTGCTATTCAAGCGCCCTGTCCGAGGGAAGAAAGTCCACATGGCATAGGGATAAACGCAAGCTGCGGAATGCAGCTCCGTCCACGTTATGTATGGACATAACACATGGAAAGGCAGCAGGGCCAAAATATCAGTGTCTACCCGCTGGAACACATACGTACGATTTTGAGATGGTGTTACACTCTCATCTACCAGAATCAATCGAGATTCGACAATCCCATGTCCAGTACCGGGTTCGCGCGTGCGTCGAGTGCCCGGGTTTTCTGAAGCGAAGCTTTGCAAAAAAGCAGGCTATTGCTACGGTTCACTGTCCAGCTGAAGACGACGTGGAAGACGCTGAACCAGCATACATTGCGCGGGCTTGGAAAGGGCTGCTTCAATGTGGAATCCTCGTTTCGAGGCGAGGCGCTCCCCTCGGTGACCAGCTGCCTGTTACAGTATCCCTTACGGAATCGAGGAAATCCGAGTTCCGGGGCCTGCAGGTTTTTCTCTCGGAGAACGTCCAATATCACCAAAAAGATGGACTTGCATGCTGCCCGGGTCCTTTTAGACGCGTTATATTATATGAAAAAGTGGAGAAAGCTGGACCCACTATGTCGCTCCACCGGGCCGAAAATGTTGATGATGAGCGGCCAGAATCGGCTGCGAAGGATGACGGAGCACTTGCGAAGTTGGTCGGGGATCCCGAGATACCATGTGGACTAGAGGCTGCGGAAGAGGAGACTGTGATGGACCTTACCTTGCAACTTCCAGATTGCCATTTACATTGTGTATCGACTGGAACGCAAGGCATGCACTATGACACCAAGTATAAGAATGTGAGGGTGAGCCACTGGCTGGAGGTAAGGCCACAAAACTTGGGAGAATGACTCGAAACGGAAAACAAAAGGAAAATCAAACTAACGAAGAGCGTGCAGTTTGTTTTTATGGTGTCCCCAAGGGATAATACCCTCGGTTCAAGCAGCGAGCGCATTATGCAAAAAGTGGCGAAGGTCCCACTCGCGCTTCGGTCCTGTTATGCTCAGCATACCAATGCTTCTCTGCCAGCGTATGGTGATGCCTAGGAATTCCGCTGTGGCCGATAGGTTCGGTTCGTCCACACATAAACGACTACGACCAGCAGCAGTACCACACCACCACCCTCCATCATCTCCACCCCCTCCGCCCAGGAATGATTATAAAGATAAGCATTAATAAAAATGGGGTAGGCCGCTGGCCGTACCACTGGACCGAATGCCGCGGGAGGTCGGGAAAGCTTCGGTAGCACCGTCGATTGGCGACCGTTCCCGGTGGCGATCTCCAGCCGTGTTCAAGCCTACCCGCGGCCGTGGCCTGCATCACAGTCTACCGAGATCCACCTTCCGTCTGTGAGTGGATGGTTGAAAACTCTTCAGAGAGGTTAAACGCTTCCAGGGACAAGGGAGGCCCATTATGCCCAGAAGACCCACGCTAAACCTGCCCTTGCACGGGCCTTGCCTCCACTAAGTGGGGATCTAGTGAACCCTGTGTGGGCCATTCGGTTTATCAGGCGCCATGAAGTTGCATCACTCGCTGCGCTTTCCGACGATCATCCACTTCGGAATGCATCATCCTCACATCATCGCGCAACCTGCCCCGAAACCATCGTGCTGCTCACCGAAGTTCCTGTCGTGGACAGTTGGCGGTTGCCCATTCGCACCACTGGCCTGTGATGTCAGTCGCAGGTCCATACCCATGGGTGAATCCGCTGAGATGTGGAGGGCTAAGACGCTTCCAATCTTTCCCCGTGGGTGTGCCCCCCTCTGGGACGGCTCAAGTTGCGCTCCACTGTCGGTGGCCGCATGCGGTTTTCCATTCTTTTAAGTCTGCTACATCTGCCAGTTCGTCTCCTCTCCGCTGTCGCCTTTTTCTCGATCACTCTTCCTCCTTCCTTTTCCCTCTTTCCCCATCTCCTCCTCCTACCCCAGTTCCCCGGATTTCGTGCGCAGTCCCAGCGCTGTTTGGTTTGATCGACTCGGCATCATGGCGCCCCCAAAGTACGCCGGCATGTCTGGCCGGAAACTATCGCTATTTCTATCAGGCATTGCGACGATGGGGTTCCTGCTCTTTGGTTACGATCGTAAGTTGTCGATCCCAGTATTCAACCATGCAAGGGCAAGCTACTAACCACTACTACTCTAGAGGGTGTAATGTCTGGTATTATCTCGGACACCGCGTTCAATAATGTCTTCACGGCTACCAAGAACGACAATGTCATGCAGGCCACTGTCACTGCTGTTTACGAAGTTGGTCAGTAAATGTCACATGGGCATCAAGTGTATGTCAAGTCACTAATCCTTGCCTTGCAGGCTGCCTCGTCGGTGCTATCTTCGCTTTGATCTTCGGTGAAACATTGGGTCGCCGTCTTATGGTCATCTCAGGCGCGTGGGTGATGATCATCGGTGTCATCATCCAGGTTACCGCTATGCCAGGTCATCTTCCCCTGCTACAGTTCATCTTCGGTCGTGTTATCACAGGTATCGGCAACGGCATGAACACCTCGACTATTCCCACTTATCAAGCCGAGTGTTCTAAGACGACCAACCGTGGTCTTTTGATCTGTATCGAGGGTGGTATTATCGCCATTGGAACAGCGATCGCTTATTGGATTGACTTCGGTGCCCACTACGGCCCGCCTGATCTTGTCTGGCGCTTCCCCATCGCATTCCAGGTCTTCTTCGGTATCCTGATCATTGTCGGCATGACGTATCTTCCAGACTCCCCTCGGTACTTGATCGCCCACGGCAAGGTTGAGGAAGGCACACGGGTTCTTGCTGCGCTGGCAGATGCAGAAATCGATGACCCTCACGTTCAGTTGGAGAAGCAACTGACGCTCGACTCGATCAGAGCGTAAGTGCTCCCGATACAAGGTCTGATGGCTAGCAAAACTGACATCGTAATTAGGTCCGGTTCTTCCCAGGCTAGGTTCCGTGATCTGCTCACCGGCGGTCCTTCCCAGCATTTCCGCCGGATGATTGTAGGATCATCTTCCCAGTTCTTCCAACAGATCTCTGGATGCAATGCTGTCATCTATTATCTTCCCGTGCTGCTGGAACAGTCTATCGGAGAATCTCACGACTTTGCCCTCTTGATTGGCGGTGTGAACATGATCTGTTACGCTATCTTTGCCACCTTCTCTTGGTTCTTCATTGAGAAGATTGGTCGGCGTAAGCTGTTCCTCGGAGGCAGCTATGGTCAATGTGCTGCTATGGTTATTGTTTTCGGATGCTTGATTCCCGGTGATTCAGAGAGCGCTAAGGGAGCTGTCTTTGGCTTCTTCCTCTACATGTGCGTCTTTGGTGCCACCTGGCTTCCCCTGCCTTGGCTCTACCCGGCCGAGATCTCTCCCCTCAAGACCAGATCCAAAGCGAATGCCGTGTCTACTTGCAGCAACTGGCTATTCAACTTCACTGTTGTCATGATCACTCCTGTCATGGTTCAACACATTGGTTGGGGTACCTACCTCTTCTTCGCCGCCTGGAACGGTCTCTTCATTCCTGTCATTTGGTTCTTCTACCCGGAAACTGCCGGTCGTAGTCTGGAGGAGATCGATTTGATCTTCGCCAAGGGTTATGTTGAGAACATGAGCTACGTCCGGGCATCGAAGGAACTGCCCAAGCTCACCGACGAGGAGATCGAGGCCAAGGCCGCCGAGTACGGAATCCTTGGCGACGAGGAGAAGGCTGAGGAGAAAATCGCCGAGAAGGATCCTCCTGCGTCTGCTGAGTTCTCTCAGTTCCAGCCTACCCAGCTGTAAAGGGTGTATACCACAGATTACCACCCTCCATTACTTGGTCTTTGAAAATTTTCTCGCATGATGATATGCTTTGGACATGAGTTTTATACCATTTTGTTTTGAATTTTCTACCGAGCCGTTGCAGGACAACCAAGCTTACGCGTGTATTATCTGGCACTTGGTGCTTATTGTGGCTCTTTTCAAAGACTCTTGGCTATGGTCCAAGGAGAGGGAAGAGGAAGCACTTGTTCATAATTAACGCGTGGTTGTTGAGCAGCCTCGAGATGTATTATGGTCATTTGCGTGTTGATGTTATGTCCGATAGAGTGATCTATAGATCTGTTTGCTCTTGGCAGTTTGATACCTTTTGATTGCTAAATGAACAATCAAACCATGTCTTTGACACTATGCAAATCCATACATTTGTTAGGGTAACAATGGATATCATTGAACGACGATCCCAAATTATTGCAAAACATCTATTACAAGAAACCTAAATTATCAAGGCTATCAGACGACAAGCGGCAGGACCCATGGATCAAAAGCAAACATACCTGTAGTCCGGACACTAAATGTTTTAACCTGCAGATCCGAACTCTAATGGTTCTTCCTCCGCTAGCGCCATCGAGTTCAAGTAACCAATAGCTCAAGCCACATTTGATTGTGGATTCTGAGGACGGACATGCCATTGACTGCATGCATGACCTATTTAGCCCTACTGTTCAATAGTGTGCATGAGGGAACATACTGGAACAACTTCTTGGAGACAAAGTAGACACCAGTTCCGACAATGGCAACCTTGGCGAACCGCCCGAAGCCTGGAGCGCCATGACCCCGGGCATAGAGATGGCGAGCGTAGTTCTGATTAAAATAGGGAGTTGGTGAACGCATATCCGATGTGATCCATACAGGTAATAATAGACTTCTTAGGCGATAGTAAGCCAATCTATGTCCCCATGGTGGAATGATTGATTTATATTTGGTGAAGTTCGGGTTTCGAGAATCCTTCGCGGGCTCGGCCTCGGTCTTTAGCGCTGGGATGACCGAGTTCTCGGCTTTTGACTTCAGTCAGCCTCACCATGAACATCACCACCATCACATAATCACTATCTCAGCTCCTGTGAGCAAGCAAGCTGGTTTAGGCAATTGGCATTCTGTGTGTATGATTTTGGTCCTATTAACCCTGTTATCCAGGGTATGTCCAGACTAACACCATCCAGCTGCATACGGCATCCCATGACCGGCACCGAACCTCGCAAACGTCGCCGGCCCGCCAAATCGTGTGAGCAATGCCGCCAACGCAAGGTTCGCTGTGACCGCAATGTACCCTGTGGGCCTTGCACACGAGCTCGCTCATCTTTGGGTTGCTCTTATCGTCGAATTAGTCGTTCTCCGTCACCGACTGATCACCAAGCATCTCCCCTTATCTCGCATGAGCCGCAGCGCAATGCACGGGGCTACCCGCTGCCATCTGGGATGCCAGATGGCTCAACGGGGTCCCTGGACGAGACGCCAGACATTGGACCTCAATACGGTAGCAAGGAATGCATCTCGTCGCAGTTAGGATCAACGATCCGTGACCTCCAGCTTCGTTTACAGCGTCTGGAGGAACAATTAACCAGCCCAGGCATAGCCCGGCCATTGGCCACAGAACCTGATATTCAGCAGGCACTTCGAGAACTGTGCGACAAGGTCCAGAGCCTGGAACAGCGGTTGCTATGTACGCAATCAATTCAAGCACCGAAAGGAGAACTGGCCATTGCTGCAGCGCCTCCTCGACTGCACTCCAATTCCAAGAAGATGAAGCTGTTCGGTCCAACTCATTACACGCACACGATGGATAAGGTGCGAGCCCTGTCTCCATGAAGAATCGGATGAAGACTGACTATCCGTAGCTCCAGCTCGTGGGCTCACTGGAAACTCGGGGTCCCCAGCCACTATGCCCCGAGCTCAAGGCAGAGCTAGCTGCCCAAATCAAAGAGCTTCATTATCTCCGTGGATCAGTCAAGGCAGCACAGAGTCCCCGGTTGAACGACCCTGTGCCAGACCTGCTCTCTACCATCCCAACCAGATCGGTGTGCGATGAGCTGGTGCAATGCTACCTACGAACATTCGAAAGCATCTATCGCATCGTCCACATACCATCCTTCAATAAAGAATACCAGCAATTCTGGGACCACCCTCCAGCAACACCCACCCCCTTCCTCATGAAGCTGGCATTGATCCTCGCCATCGGCACAACCTTCCACCCACAACGAGGCAAAGCCGGCAAAGAATACGATACTCAACTCATCCAAACCTGGATCCACGCTGCCCAATGGTGGCTCACAGGCCCAACCGAAAAGAACACCTTCAACCTGGACGGCCTCCAGATCTTCTGCCTACTCCTCCTCGCCCGCCAACTGGGATCCCCAGGCCCATCTCTATACCTCTCCGCCGCCTCCCTCCTACAGACAGCCACAGCCATGGGCCTGCACCGAGACTCAGCCCACTTCCCATCTCTCTCCCCATTCCAATCCGAAATGCGAGCCCGTCTCTGGACCACCGTTCTCGAACTAACCCTCCAGTCCTCCCTCGAATCCGCCTCCCCCATCCTCATCCCATACTTCGACACCAAGCCCCCATCCAACCTCAACGACACCGACATCCACCCAGACCTCAAGCACCTCCCCACCCCTCATCCCAAATCCACCCACACAGACACATCCCTCCAACTCCTCCTCCACTACTCCTTCACCCTCCGCGCTGAAACGATCCACCTCATCCACAGCCCCAACAATATCCCCTACCAAAAGGCCCTCGACCTCACCACCAAACTCCGCACCACCTGCCACACCATCACCACCACCACCACATCACCCCAATCATTCCACCACTCCCACCTCCTCACAACCCTAACCCGCTACATCCTCCACCTACACCTCCCCTTCGCCCGCGTCGCCCACACAACCCCTCAATACCACTATTCCCGGAAACTATGTCTCGAGTCCGCCCTTACAATCGCCTCGTTCGCCCCAACCATCACCACCACCACCACCTCCTCCTCCTCCACTCCCCTCGACAACAACTTCCCCCTCCTAACCCTCACAGCCCGCGGTCCCCTCCGCGGGCCTCTAAACCTCGATGTAATCTGCACATTGGCGCTGGAACTTATCACCCAGATAGAGGAGGCCCCAGGCACAGACACCACAGACAACCCCAATGATAATAGCACTAGTAGTAGACCCAATCTCTTGAGCGTGCTAGCATCGGCAATACGAACCCCCATCCTACACACCCTCGAGAACCTCGCCCTGCAGAGCGCACACGTCCTGAAAATGCATGGGAAGTCGCCGGCGCTGAAACGGTATATTATCTCTCAGGCCCTGGTGGCGCAGATTAGGGCTTTGGAAGATGGTGCGGGTGCTGGGGATGTGCAGGGGGTGGTGTATGAGGCTGTTAGAGGGTGTTTGAGGGATGGGGTGGGGATGTTGAGGGGGATGGAAAAGGAGGATAATAATGCGGAGGAGTTGGGGATGTTTGTCACGCCGGATAGTGCTGGTGCTGGTGCTGGTGCTGGTGCTGGGGAGTTGGATGAGATGGGAGAGAGGTTGGGGATTGGGATGGGATTGGTGAGTATTGTTTTCTTTCGGTTGTGTGTTTGATTTATGGTCTGTGGAATGGGGCTAATCGTTGGTTCAATTCATGTAGGATGATCTTGAAGGGTGGGATTTGGCGAGTTTCTTGTATGTGCCTGGGTTGGTGGATTTGGGCGGGGGTTGGTAGGGATAAGTGGTGGGTAGATAGATAGATAGATAGAAAGGGATCATAGTATGATGATGATGATGGATGAGGTTTAGAAGGATGCTGATGGTAAACGTTGTGATAAGATTAATGATGTATGGAAGGAATGATCGTCTCTATTATTAAGGCATGTGATAGTAATATTCTCGCTCATGCATGGTCGTGTTCATGCTAACAATGCACTCGTGGTAATATAGTATACCTCAGACCTGCAGAGGGCTAGAACCACCCTGCATACTGGTCTAACGACTCATTCTGCACACCGGCAGAACCATGGCGCACCCCGAGAAGGCGGACATTCCCGATTTTGCCCCCAAAGTCATCTTCCAGTTTGCTCTCCCACGTCTCAAAGAGCTGAGTCAAACGCTGGATGACATCCGCCTTGTCCTCGATGAGCACGGCCAGGGCGTCGTACCCACCGGCGCCGGGGACGACTCCGCCGACAACACCCTCAATGCTGGTGATGGCATCAAGCAGCTCGGTTTGCACCTTCGGCTCGATGGGAACGCCGGCCTTCTGGGTCATAGTGCGGATGAGGTCCCGAGAGCGTTCGATAAGACGACGAGTATCGTCAAAGCCGTTCGGGGCTTCCGCATCTGGGCTCTGGGATAGCTGCTTCAGCTCCAAGCACAGTCGATCATTGTTGGACTGAAGTGCCTGCCATAGCATCAGGGACTCTTCCGGGTTCTGCTTGCGCCATTCCAAGACCTTCCGGACCATGGACGGGGTCTGAGAGCCGCACTCCACATCACACAAAACCATCTGCATTCCACGGGGAAGCTGCATGCCGAAATCCAGACACTCCGTATCCCACGAATGCTTGGGGTCGGCATCTTCGACGATGGCAAACAAGCGCTCCTCGAAACCTGGTGACCCAACATCCCCGACTGACTCCAAGATGGACGGCGAGAACCGCCGGTACAGACAGGAACCGTAAATCGCTGCTGCCACGTCAAACCCAGATCCCACTTTGCCTTGTGCTGCACAGTGAGCGGCCTGCGCCAGGTTGTGCAGCTTCTCGCGAGCAGCCCCGAGGTCCTCGGGCTGCAGGGTGCGGTGAATGACTAGAGCGGATACAAAAGCGGTGACCAGGGCTGCAGAGGAACCCAATCCGGTTTTGTGTGCTTCATGCAGGGGAACGCCAAAGTTCACGAATCGTCCTGGAGACTGGAGGCTCGAGATCTTGGAGAAGGCGGTTTCCGAGTAGTAGTCGTTGTCGGCAAGGATCGTAATGGAAAGAGAACCGAAGTCTTTCGAGGCGGCCACGTAGCTGATATACGTCAAGGCGTAGTTGAGAGAGGTTTCGACAAACGGGTTTGCTCGTCTGCTGCAAACTTAGCCCTGATTGCTCCAAATGCGAGTCTATGCACCTCACCCGTCGTTCTTCTGTACGACTTTAACCCCACCTCCGTTATCGCAACGTTGGATGCCATACTCCCACACCGCGTCGACAAACTGCGGGGAACGAACGACGATGACGTCCTCACTAGCTTGTTCATCTGCAGCCTCATCTTCAGCTATTTCCGCACCATCCCTGTTTTGTGTTCGAATCCAGACATACCACTGCGGTGAGATCTTCTCAGTTGCTGAACAACGACATGGATACGAGCATCGAGAGCGAAGACTGTGCCGGTGTAATCGCGGTCCAGGACAAGGTAGCCGCCGGTGAGAAGGACCTTTCCAGGGGCGGACACCGCCGTTACTGTAGGAGCTTTGTAGGACATGAGGGGGAGCGAGGAGAGTGTGCGGTTCGGGTATCACGAAGGAGTGGGCGCTCTATTCCGTCTGGCACGGGCGAGGAACTAAAGGGGCGAGACGGTTAGTATATAACCGCAACCAAACTGCAAGCGATCAAGTTGAAAGGTGATCTTCAGGGAGATAATGTACGCACTGTCAGACCAGTAAGCGTGGTCGGTGAATAATCCAATGGGTTGGCAAAGGCAAAGGGCTGCAAAAGCAAATCGGGCTTGGAACAGTTTGCGAACTCCGTCAATATGGAGGAGCCCCGCTTAGAGGGGAATGTCTACAAGTCTTGCGGGGAGAGACAACCTGCAAGGAGAAAAAGGATAAGGAAGAGGCCCAGAGCGGATGCATGATGACTGACTGGCTGACTGACTGACCTGCGTCTGGTAGCCGAATATCGGAGATATGTGTAGAGCTGCAGCGGCATCCAGCGTCTGTCAGTT